TAAGCCTTGTGTAGGTTTGTGAGAGGTGTGCCTTTTCAAAAATAAAATCTGCTTCCATATTGCAGCCTCTGGGAGGAAGGTAACACCAGCAACAAGGCATTTTCTGCTTTTTCCTCCTGTTGTTGCACCAAAAGACTGACAGCTGAAAATAAAGCCCTGTGTTCCATATCATTAAATCCTGCTCTCTCAGCTGATTACATTCTTATTAGTGCCTCCATTCTTCTCCCGTTATTGTTACTTCTAGTGAAACAAGCCTGATAATGTGCACTCACTTGCTAGATGCACAACCTGCTCATTCCCATCTCTTATTCTTTGTAGTCGCCGAATGGTTTTTAAATGAAAAGTGTGAGTGCGGTGTAATTATAATTCCGGGGGTATTATGAAATCAAATATCACAATGAATGTAATTTTATTTGCTTGTAATCTCTCTCACCCAGGCTAATAGGCATTTTCAAAGGGCACGCTCAGGGGGTTTAAACGGCTGACCATCTTTAAATAGAATGGCTGCTCTGCTCTCTTGCTCTCCAGCTCTGTTCTTTTGTCTTTGATATGCAGGCAAAGAGCTTGACAGTCTGGGAGACGTGGGAGATTTGTCGGCCTGTGATCTCCATGCCTTTCTGACAAATGAGCGCCTTTGGCAGGGCTGCTGGAGGTACGGCTTCTCTGCCCTGCTGGAATCCTGATGAGACCGCTCCAGAGCTGCTGGTAATGAAGTCGGGGCACAGGACCAACCTGCTGCCAGAAACGACCTTTAATCTACACACTTGCAGGTCATTTGGCACGCAATGACTCAAATATGCACAAGCAACTTTGCATTTTTGTATCTAACATATTTTTCTATGTGATTGTACAATTTTTTTCCACATTGTATAAGGCCTTTTATAAATTCAATCAGCTGAAGACGATTAGTTTACGCTTTACATTTCTCAACCATTGGTGATGCCTGATGTTTGTGTCTGTATTCAGATTTGACTTGTGGGGTAATTTAGGACGCTCTCATATTCCAGTCAGTCTTCATTACATTAAACTCAATTGCTCCACCAAGCACACAATTGCTTGACATTGATTTTGCAGATTCTCTCAGTGCATGTAATTCCTCATACAGAGTATGGTAAAGATGTTAACAAATTACAACCTAAAAATTCTAATCCCCAGAGGATAACCGTTCCCATTTCAACTCAACAATGAGCAGGAAATGGCTGATATTGATTCTGGTCATTCCCATTCGACACTGAGGAATCTTAACCGCAACGCTTGCTCAGTCCAATCCAACATGGTTGCCTTTGATATTATCTCTTGGCTTCACTGAGTAATGATTCATAGGAAGAACAAGCACTACCCCTTGTGGCCCAATTGGCCCAATGCAGCGTGGGTAACTGGCACCTCCAGCTGCTCATGGGCCCCTCCTGATAAGTTAACCTTGTGATAACATGCTAATGCCTGATTAATGTTGCAGTAATTAGACACAGCTTTTCACACTCAGTTAAGAGGACATCCTCCAGCAATTAGCCTGCGCCGGAGAGAGATAATTTCAGAGAGCACAGCGGAATCACGTTCCTTAGCTCGCCTTCATTCCCACTTGGCAACATTAAGGTTTATTTTCTCATTATTTCATTTAATTACACGTTTGATGTTCTATACAGCTGCCACAAGTAATCTTTGATCCAATTAGGAAACGCTGATTGACAGCGTGGGTGTGGGATTCAATAAGCCGCATTCAATTTGCCGTTGTGACCTTATCAGAGGATCTGTGGAGGATTCTCAGCTCACGCTGACTGCCAACTAAAAATATAATAGTATATTCTGCATGGAGGGCACACCTTTGTGTGCCTGTGTGTGTGTGTGTAGGTGTGTGTGTGCCCACATTTGCGAATGTAGGTGTAAAGCTGTATGAAGGCGGAGTGTGTGTGCATTTTCCTCAGAAGACATCATAACAATGAGGGATGAACACATTAGCGAGGAGAGGCCCCTGTGCTCACCAGCCTGCAGACTGCCCATTAATAATGTACTGCCAGGGAAGAGGTGGGGGCTGGTGCTGAGATTAGTCCAGCATTAAGAACTCGTTTGCTTTTTCTATTAGGGAGACATGTTGGTCTTTCTTAAACAAGAAAGATCAGCCCACTTGTAATTGGACTGTAAAATCCTATATCAAAATTGTCAGTGGTCTAGCAAAGCCAGCTATGTAATTCCTTTTCAATGTGAGCAGAGACTGGAGCTATACTGGGCTTCTCTATGTGTTCACACGGTGAAGGCATTTAGTATGAAAATCAAATATTTAAAAAAATGTCTAATTATTGAAACAACATACACATATTTAAATAAAAGCATGTCGATATATGAATTACATTAGCATAACTCTAATGCCATTCAGGATAAATTACAAAATGACGATGTGTAAACACTTGAAGCACAGTTAACATTCATCAGTCAATCAGTGGCTCATTCATCATCTGACCAGTAACATCCAGTCTTATTTCTGCATGTGAACAGTGTGGCTATTGTAACACCATGTGACTGACTTACTCTTCCCTCAGGACTCAAACCCTGAACCCTCACAGACTTAATGACATTAGCTGATAAGTGATTGAGAGTGAAAGACAGCAAGGACTCAGAATGGTATAAATAGAAATGGAACAGCATAATGCATCACATTTAGTTACTAAGTTTGGGACTTTTTACTTTATGTTTTTTACTTTCTTCAGGTAAATAGCATCTGGCATCATCATACAAAAATAAAAAAAGAATGGACAAGCAACTACATACATTCTGGATATATATAAGTGTTTATACTTACACAGAAATGTTTTTTTATAATAAAGTCAATATTGCTGTTTGGTTTGTTTACCCACATCACATTGCTATGAACTGTGGGTAATTCCCTTGAAGAAGATGAGCATACATGGGTTCAGAAAGTCCGCGACCAAGCCCTCACACACTTGACAATTTCACAGAGGGATAGTCCAGAGCCCTGAAGGACTAGCCTCAAGTCTTTGAAGAAGGACATTAGGACTGAGCCCAATACTGAGACATTCATTTGAACCCTGTCAAACTGCTGCAGCTCAATCCACCACCACAACCCCCTTATGTGCTATAACGTTTTGCATTGTCAAAAGTATGTGTATGAAGGGGGTCATTGGTGCTGCTGACAGAATTTGTGTTGCTGCTTTGTTTCTTCAACAAATCTAATAATTTGTTAAAAATGGTTTGTTCTTTGATTGAAGGGTCTCTGACTGAAGTGGTGAAATAAATAATGAGATTCATTACAAGTAAAGATCTTGCTTACACAATCTCTAATAAATGTTCATGTATAAATAAAAAGTATAAATAGAGGTATTATCAACAACTATGTAATTATTAAGTGAAAGCACTTGTTCCACAGGAAAATGGCCCCAATGAATCATAACCCTGTGTATGACATACATACCAACCATTTAGTTGTTGTAGAAGCTGCATGAGGTGCTGCTAGTTTTATCTATTTCATACTGTGAGGTAGTTTATTCCTGTGGTACTGAAACAGGGACAGTTGAATCCAAACTGTCAGATGATAAATCTGAGCCATCATGATATGAATAATGGGAGAGGAAAGAAGAAATACAAGGTGTAAACATTGTCATCTTTTCTCTTTTTGTGAATAATATGACAAGAACTCATGAACTTTAAGGTAATGTATCACAATTGTCATTCTGATCTCATCCATCTTGTTTGTAAGAGACATGGAGTCAACAGACTTGAGAGCGCTGGTACATACGGGTTAGCCTTTAGCCTAGCGCATAGCCCAGCTCACTTCCCTCCCTTCTGTTTCCTCTCCCTCCACCTAAATATAGGCTTTTCCAGCCTTTAAGGATGATTCATGCTTCTGCGTCGCAGCTATGCCGTAGATGCGCACATAGCCTACTCACGGGGCCAAGCATTCATAGTTCTGCCTGTGTGTGAGTCACATTGCTGAAATGGGTTGTAAATCGTCGCTATGCTTTCCTGGTAATCCGTCCCGACCACAGACATTGAGAATAGTTTATAGAATTTTCTCCTTGATTGTCTCAATTGCTGTTGTAGGCCATAAAGAGGCAGCGCTTTTAAAATAGGACCATTTCATAACCAGTTAAAAACTAAACGGCTTTAATGTGATTTGCCTCATCATAAATCATGACTTCATCTGCCACAGACTGTATTTAAAGATGGACGACATGACAGCTCTCCAAAAGTGATGCCTAAGCATCTCGAGTGCAAACTGGTGTTAGTGATGTTAGTGATGTTAGTGGATGGGATATGGACCAATTTTTGTCAAAGATTGTTTCTCTTATTTTTATTGGGGTTTATCTCATTGATGCCTTATTAACAACCAACAGCAGGCCATCTGGTTGAGTTGAGAGGAGAGAATTGAGCTTAATAATAGCAATAATCATGATAAATGACTGTATTTTGGCCCTGTGATATGCTGTTGGCCTGTTCAGATTGTACAGTTCTGGGGCTTTTAATATCTGAAGATGATGTTCAAACATTCATGTTTCCTGAAAAAAAAGGGACTGAATTGAATGGACTTTCACAAAATCAGAATCACAAAATTGTTGTGTTTTATGATTTGCTCCTCCAGTTTGGGTAAAGCCCATTTAAAACTCTATGTTTCAGATTCTGTTTTTTTACATACTTATTCAATGTAAACAATTTCACTCCAAATGATGTCACTCAAACTACATTCCAATGCAGTTACTCAAGCTGAGCAGCTCAAATTAACTTATAAATGATTTGAATTCCCAGTGACATATATTTCTGCCCATAGGTGAGAGTCAAAGAGTAAATGTTTGTTTATAATTATACATATATATCATATACCAAACACACTTTCTGTATTTGCCTGCATTATGACGCTAGTTGACATGAGAGCCTGCAGACACATACTTACACACGTTGTGGTTTTGGTTTTGGTGTGAGACCATGTTTTTTGTGCGGATGAAATGACATCAACTTTTTTTTCTCCACAGGCTCCTCTGCCCCTCCTCCATCAGCTGATGCATATTGTCAACCCTGGCAGGAAGTGCATCTGCGCGTTTGTCCGGAACATGAGGACAAGAAGCTGTCTTATCCTCTGCGAACTCAACACCAAACTCGTGCTCTGACGGTAAACGAACCGTTCCTCGCATGAGAGAGTCGTCACGTTACCGAGTGTCTGTCTACATGTTCTCCTAGCTGCCAGCTACGGTGGGTTGCTAATGTTAGCTTTCGCGTTAGCTTCGTGTTATTATTGGGCGAAGTTGCGTGTGTTGACAATAACTGTTGTGGTATGAACAGAGATGAAACACTCGGTCACGCTGAGAGCTGGCATCGGAATCCAGTGTATGTTTTTCAAGTAGCCTCACGGTAAAGTCCGCTAAAGACGCTGGAAGCTAGTAAACCCAGAGAAGCCGAGCTTAGCGACGTCGCGTTACTAGATAGTGCCTCAGAAGGTTCTTAACCAAACCTCATTGGAAACCCAGCCAGTTGTTTGTATTCTTGCTTGTTGTGCTCGGTGTATATGCACCATAACATTTCTCATACTAGTTTATGAATTAATGAGGTGCACCCGTCAATTCGGCTCTGATTATGCTTAAAATATCCATCAGAAATCCATTAAAAAGCTATTCAAAACTCACAATCTGTGGATCTAAAAAGTTGTACTCTTGTCAGCTGAAGAGACACCGAACAATTCTTTTTAATTAATTTTTTTAAGTGTAATTAATCAAATGAAGAAAGTTAGAATGTATATATTCAATTTAGTAAACAATTAATTTATACATTTTTTTATTTTGAGCCAATCTTGCAACACCAAAACTTTCAAAATGTGGCACTGAGGATTAATTTCATTTTCTTTTTGCAACCATGTCATATCAAAACCGGGGGAAGTATTCACACGTGGCACCTATTGCACTGTCCATCCTGGGAGAGGGACTCTTCACATCTCTCTTTCTGAGGTTATTTTTTTGGTAGTTTGTTTGTTGAGGGTTAAGGGCAGAGGATGTCACACCTTGTTAAAGCCCTGTGAGACAAATTGTGATTTGTGAATATGGGCTTTACAAATAAAATGTGATTGATTGATTGATAATTATCAATGACTGTTTTATTATACCTTCCTTTTCTCATAATTTCTTCCAGGAATAAAAGCATCAGGTGATGGACAGTTGTGGGAGAGGACGGCCATGGGGAAAGCTCGTCAAAGTGGACTCCAGTGAGACAGTCCTGCTTTTCAGCAGGGAATGCACAGTTGGCAGGAAAAAGGGTCAGTGTCTTTGTGCATGGATGGAATGAATGATGGAATTAACTAAAAATATAAATAAGAATCTTATGTTTTATTAAAAATCATCTTACATTCTATCCTTTTAAAGAAGCTCAAAATGTGGTATACCCCCTAACAAAAGATAACCCTGTCTGTGGTGCAGACATTGCTGTCAGTGTCTGGAGCCTTTAAAACCTCCCCCTTGAAAACACAAAGCTTTTTTAGTGCACCAAACTTAGATGGCCCCTTGTGATGATAACAAAAGGCGTCCATTGAGAACATGTGTGCAGAATATTAAGTAGATTTTTTTTGTATGGGTTTTGCCTAAGAAAAGGTTAGGCCTATATTTCCCCCTGTGTCTGCTTTGTTGGGGGCTTTTGGGGTCCACTCGTTTTAATTGGTTAGTCTATGTCTGGGCATTCATGGCTCTAAAAAAAATCTCATGGCAACATGCTTTCAGGTGAATCTTAGTAGCATGAGGTTGAATTTTCAATGTAGTGCTATGGAGACGTTTGGTCAGAGATGGGAAAACAGAAATTAATATCAAAACATGATCTTTGACGGATACATTTATTAACCACTATACTCACAGGGAGAGGTACCACAGACCATTAGGGCCATATTGAAGAAAAATAATTCCTGTCACACGCTGATAGTTAAACGATTTTGGAATCCACCAGCCACAGTGGCAGGGAAATAGAAACA